CAAATGAAAGAAGATAAAAAAAAAACATGACATTAGGAAGCCGTTTTTCGATTCTCAATTTTGCTTTTTTGCAACATCCGGTTGAATTTTTTAAAGTTTGAAGGGTCATATCTCGTGATCTTTAACTTTGATGACCTTGACCTTCATAAAGTCAAACGTCATTGACCTTAGCTATCAGTTAATACTTTGACATTTGACCTCCGACATGTACTTCCGGTTTTATAGCTGTCCGAAAACAGCCAAATTCGCAACATTGGACTGCTCTAGCACGTGACCTAATTAACCTAGAGGGTTAATTTTTTCAGATTCTTAATGTGCTTTTCAGGCTCTTTCAAATGATTTATAACAAGCAAAATTTAAATTCGTGAATTTTTCAAATTTGAGGTTTTTTTTTTACAATATTTCTGTTTCTTTGAGCTTGGTGTGTATATATCTTATGACCTATTTTATATAAACATAGGAACACAACAAGACAATTTGAATATAAATTAACCTATGACAAAAAAGTTGAGGTGGGCGTGGCACATCCGGGTTGAATTACTAATTGTTTACATTTTGGGAAAGGGGCATAACTCGCATTGGATACATTTGTTCAAAAAGGAACTTTGCACACAATTACCTCATTATTTTGGCCAGTTTGTGTTAATAGGTCAATTGTTTCAGCTTTATAGTTCCAAAAAAGGAACGGGTTTTGAAATTTCCATATTTTCAATTTTCTATTTTGACCTTTATTGACTCTTGTTGACCTATATCTTTTGACCTGTATGATGTAGAAGCTTTAAATTTGGAACACAACATAACATTCAGAATATCAATTAACCTATGCAAAAGAAATTGAGGTGGGCGTAGCACATCCGGGTTAAATTACTCATTATTGACAATTTTGGCAAGGGACATAACTTACAACGTATACATTTGTTCAAAATGGAACTTTGCATACAATTACTTCCTCTGTTGAGCCACGTTGTCTTAGAAGTTCGATTGTTTCAGCTTTATAGTTCAAAAAAAGGAACAGCTTTTGAAAATTCAAAATTTTCAATTTTTGACCTTGACCTTTTTTTACCCTGATTTTTGTAGGATCAAAGGTCATTCACATTGGCTATCTATTTATACTTTTATATTTGCTGTCCTAGCTCAACTTCCGGTTTTATAGCCGTATATTTTTGAAAATTTTGATGACTTGTATCTCGTAACCTTGACCTTTGTTGACCGTTTCCCTTTCAATGTCAAATGTCATTGACCTTGGCTATCTTCTGATACTTTCATATGTGAGTTCTGTCTACTTCCGTTATAAAAATCTTCCAAAGAATTCTTCTCAACTTTAGACTGCTCTTGCGCGTGATTTTTTCAGAGTCTTTTGCATTTTGCTACATTTGCAAAGTCCCACTTTGTGCCACGTGTGGCTCTAGTGTACATTTGGTTTTATTTTTCTTGGTCAAATCATGTTTACTGTTTGATTAATTGATTTTTCTAATGAATAATTCAAGTGTTCTTGAGTGCAGAGATTGTGTGGGGACAATTGAAATATTAAATGTTTCGGTTGGTAATGTGCGGCTGTAAAAACACAAAGAGTTACCTTACTTATGGAAAGTGTGAGACAGGCTAATCTTGCAATCCCTTCATCATTAGCTTATTTAGAGTTAATTATTGACTTTTGAGATAAACTGGTATTTTTCCCAATCATTAGGACATTTCTAATTTCGATTGATATAGTATTAACCGTTCAATAATGGAATATAATTTATATAGTCAAGTAACCAATTACTTGCTACCCGATTTTCGTGCATCTCCCAAAATGATTAATAATTTACATGTGCGACCTCGTGCGACCTTGTGCGACTTCGCGCAACCTCCGCATTTGCTTGTTTTGATAAACATGGGTTATCTCTACAATATCAGCTAGTAGAATGAATCCAGTAGTTTCAAGCAAGGTAAAATTTATTATAGTTACTTTGACAAATACAAAATGGCAGATTTCAGTTATTACCAAATGTCACAATTTTTTATCAGCCCAATTTCCTTATAATCCCAAGCTGTAATCGGAATTCAAGTGTCGTCTGCTAGAACGACGTCACGTAACAATCTAGCGGATTCCATGTCAGCAGAAAAATTCTATGAAACACAATGGGGTCATATCCTTAGGTTGTTTCAATGAATTTTAGCAATAAATCACTCTTATGTTTTACTTATCTAATTTTGTCAGTCAAATTTTTTTTTCTTTAATCATTTATCTATGAAGGAATTGTCACTCGTTATAATGAAATATTGTAAAGATTTATACTAACAGAAGTTATTATACCACTGGGTATGCATACAACATGTTTTTCTCGACTTATTTATAGATCAAACATTTTACACGAAAATAGGAGACGCAATTTGCCGCCGTTGTCAAGTTGGTTACTTATGAAATATGGGTGAAAGCAGGGGATTCATAAAGAAAATTGAAAAACAAACCAATTTTAATTATTTTATAGAATATCTGGGGAAACTTTTAGGACACTTCCATTTTTTAAATCTGATGAAATTCGGTGTTAAATTCTTACATGCAAAAAAATAGGTTACACCACTGTATAAATAAATGAAATATGGGAAACCGACTTTAAATCAGAGGATGTACCAATATCTTATAGAAACTACTTAAAGATGGGTTTCCTTATTTTTTTAGTGTCAAACCAAGCAAACTATTTGATTAATTGGTGTTTCTAAAGAATTATGTATTCTTAATCATATCATTATGTTCTTATTGCATATAATTAAGAGTTTTAACCAATCATAAATTTCAATGTTTGTACAGTCTGGATAAACAAAAAGGACTTTTTGACCTTCCTTGACCTTTTGGTCACTCATTGGTAATTCTCTTCTAATTTGGCTAATTATGAATAAATTATGGACATGTGAGACAAACTGGTATTTTTCCAAGTCATGAGAATACCTCTACTTTATATTCATTTAAGTATTAGCATTTTCATTTTTATAAATGAAAATAAGTGAAACCATCTTTAATGTGTTATTGTACAGGAAAATTTAGACTTGACTTTTTTTCATAATTATATCACCCACCAAACTTAACCATTACTTTATTATATTTAATTAACTATCATTGTTAGTTTTTAACTATTAATCCTATAATCTGTAGGAGTGGATACCAAACCCACCTTAACTCTGATATGACAAAATGTAAATATCTATGTTGTTATTGTTACAATTGAAGAAATAGAACTAATTACTAACTATACAAGAGTTATGTCTAATTATTTGAAGATACTATTATATGAAAATAATATGGCATTAGGCTAGTAGAAGCCTGACATATGGAGTGTCCCAATCTGTCTCGCTAGAGCTGAAAAACCAGAACTAAATGAGGGACTGGTAGGTGATATTTATAACTTCTTATGGTGATTGCCTTCCATTTAAATACAATTCAGGTGAAGAGTTATACATGTTATTATTCAGACCCCAATATTATCTTGGTTAGGAATTGCTGGATAAGTAACTTTAAGTGGCTTAATTACTTTATATTTGCCTTGCTGACGTATATATTCTGTGTGCTAGCAACACCAAATTCATAATGGCATAGATTCATCCTAGGGAAATATTATTGAAATATTTGTATAAGGTTAAATGCACACATATGGAACTTTATTTCAATTCAAATTAAAGGGATTGAAAAGAGGTTTTCTAAATTCTTGCAATGATAGCATCAATTTTCCTCATTTCAATTATCATTCAGTCATTTGTGATTCCTGCAATTCCATTAAAACTAAGTGTTTGATTTCGAAGGGTCTTATGTGATAAAGCATATTATTCGATAATCAAACATAGTTTTGTGGTATCTGAAACCTCAGATATTTGATTGTAAATTGGAAAGGTACAAATTGATGCTATCAGTGTCCCTGATACACTTACAAGATAGCTTGCCAGGCAAGGTAACATACGCCCACTATCAGCTGTCAAAATGAAAACAAAATCTTAATTAATGGCTTAATTATAAATTTTCAAATAATCTTAAAATCATCCATAAGTCAAGGCAAAAACCTGAAACAGTTCATAAAGTTATCATGAAATTCAAACATGAATTCTCATCGCTGTACACACAAGGGCAATAACTCGGAATCTGTTAATTTGATTATTACCAATTTCTAACTTGACCGAGATCTCATCATGCATATCTAGTTTCATCAAGATTGGATAAAAACTGTAGTATCTATCGTGCCTGCAAGCCGAACTTGACAAATTTTACTAAGTCAAGGGCAATAACTCTGAAACCATTCATCTGATTATTACAAACTTGACTGAGATCTCATCAATATATACATGCATACCAAGTTTCATCAAGATCAGATAAAAACTGAAGTCTCTATCGTGCCTACAAGGCAAATTTGATGCGTTTTTACTAAGTCAAGGGCAATAACTCTGAAACCGTTCACCGATTATTACCAATTTCGAGCTTGACCGAGATCTCATCTTGATATTAAGCATTTTTCAATAGTTAATTGCAAATTTATGTATAATTTCTAAGTTTTTTGGATTTATCGGATTATATAAGGATCCTGTTATGTTATTTATGATACCAGGTATATCTTCTGGCTCTTATTCGCCAAGTTTATAATTCTTAAATTTTATGTTAATTCTTAGATGTAGTATCACTTTAACAAGTTTCTAAATCTGTCAAGAATTGTGCCTTTTCGAGTGTTTATGGGCTAAAAATTGAACACATTTTCAAGAACAAGGGCAATAACTCAAACTTAAATTTTTTTATTTTTTTTTATTTTCAATAGGGTTCATCCTTAAGTGATAATAAACAATTCCACCAAGTTTCGTCTAAATCAGTCAAGAATTTTGTCTTCTGAGGTGTTAAGATTGAACAATATTGAACATGTTTTTTAAGAACAAAGGCAATAACCACTAACATTTTTAGATTTTTTGCTTTTTAATAGGGTTCAGTCTTGGGTGATTACACCAAGTTTCTTTCAAATCTGTCGAGAATTGTACATTGAACTTTATTGAAGCTGAAATGATACTGAGCCGAGAGATCGAGCTTGAGCTTCACTTGGTAAACCTGGCTGCTGCCACGAAAACATGATTATCTTATTCATCTATATGTTTGTGTTGTAATGTTACCCCATGGTATCGTCTACATCATCATCAACTATGGTTTTCACGACTGACAGGGGCAACAGCAATATACGTCCACATTTACACTCCCCGAAGCAATCACTTTGCAGTTGTGAATTATTTGTTTATCTTGTAAACAGCTTTGATTTTGAATAAAAATATTTAGCAGTGCAGTAACAATTACCAGTATGAAATATTCAATCTTCAGTCTTACACTTCTTTTTAACTTTTTGGGGCGATACTGTATAATATTAAGGTGATACTACGTCTTAGAATGAACATAAAATTCAAGTTCTCGAAATGGTCAATATGAGTATATATCATCAGTTAGCTTATCTGTCATTAAGTTACAACAGAATCCCTGAAAAATCTGGAAAATTGGAAAATTCATAAAACTAAGTAATTATTGAAAAACACTTAATCTTTATATTAAGTATTTTTCAATAGTTAATTGCAAATTTATGGATAATTACTAAGTTTTTTGGACTTATCGGATTATATAAGGATCCTGTTAAGTTATTTATGATACCAGGTATATCTTCTGGCTCTTATTCGCCAAGTTTAAAATTCTTAAATTTTATGTTAATTCTTAGATGTAGTATCACTTTAACAAGTTTCTAAATCTGTCAAGAATTGTGCCTTTTAGAGTGTTTATGGGCTAAAATTGAAAGCGTTTTCAAGAACGAGGTAGATAACTCCTATGAAACATATTTTGATATTTTTGATTTTCGAAAGGGTTCATCCATGGATTTCACCAAGTTTCATCAAAATCTGTCAAGAATTGAGCCTTCTCGAATGTTTATGAGCTCAAAATTGAACACGTTCTCAAGAACAAGGGCAATAACTCATACTATATATTTCGATTTATCGGATTTTCGATAGGGTTCATTTTGAGGTGATAACGAACACTCACACCAAGGTTCGTCAAAATTTGTCAAGAATTGTGCCCTCTAGAGTGTTCACAAGCTAAAAATTGAATGCTTTCTTAAGAACAGGGGCAGTAACTCCTACTAAATATTTTTTTGATTTTTATGATTTTCGATAGGGTTCATCCTTGGGTGATAACGAACACTCACACCAAAATTCGTCAAAATTAGTCAATAATAGTACATTCTAGCGTATTTCAAAGCTAAAACTTGCATGAGTTTTTATAGCTCATCCTAAATATTTTTCGATTCTTCTGCTTTTCATTCGGGTTCATCCTTGGGTGATTACCAACATTCACACCAAGTTTCATTAAAATCTGTCAAGAATTGTGCCTTCTAGAGTGTTTACGAGCTAAAAATTGAACGCGTTCTCAAGAACAAGGGAAAGTACTCATACTTAATATGTTTCAATTCTCCTGATTTTCAATAGGGTTCATCCTTGGGTGATTACAAACACTCACAACATGTTTTGTCAAAATTTTGTCAAGAATTGTGTCTTCTAGATTGTTTACGAGCTAAAAATTGAACGCGTTTTCAAGAACAAGGGCAATAACTCATACTAAATATTTTTCGATTCTTATGATTTTCAATAGGGTTCATCCTTACGAACACTCACACCAAGTTTGGACAAAATCCTTAAAGAATTGTGTCTTGTAGAGTGTTTACGAGCAATTGTGGAAGGACGGACAGACGGACATGGGTGACGGCAATATACGCCCCCCCATTTCATGTGGGCGCATAAAAATGCATTCGAATTTGAATATTTGTGTGAGCATTAACCTCTCCAACCTGCATCAAAGACAGAAAATTCTAGGAGATAAATGATTACGAAGATACTGGCTTACCTGTCTTAGTCCTTCAAGTTCTTTTTCTAAAGTTTTTATCTTAGATGTCATCTGAGCCTTCATTTTTAACATTTTCGCTTCTGACTTTTCAGATTTAGTATCTTCAACTGTTGATTTTTTCAAAATTTCAAGTTCGTCAGTTTTCAGAGCAATCTCTGTTTTTAGACACTCATTAATTGTTCTCAGTTCTTGAATCTCAGATACACTTGAAGACAGAGAGGTCTGTACTGATGATGGCTGATTGCCTTCTTTTACTTTTTGGAGTTCATTGAATGTTTGCTGGTAACGTTCTTGAAGAGAGCTATATTGAACAGATGCTTGGACATACACACTTTCGTATTGTGTTAGTGACATTTGTAAAGATTGCATTTGCAGATCTTTTTCACTTACTTCAGTTTCATGTTTTTCTACTAAACTTTTCACTTTTGTTTCTAATTTGGATTTCTCATCTCTCCATTGTGCTTCCATTTCAACAAAATTAGCTTGTATTAACAATAACTGCTCTGATGTCACTTGAAGTTTATCTTTTAAATTTCTCAAAGCCTCACGATTTTTTCTGAGTTCTTCATCTTTACCGGTCATTTCACTTTGCATAATTTCTACAACTTTTATTTTCCCCTCTAATACCTCATTGCTGTCTTTTATTTTTTGTTCCATCATGTTTATGACAGCGTCTTCAATATTCATAGAGCTTTTTGACATAATAGACTGAATATCTCGTTCATGACGGTTTATGATTTCACGTATATCATTTTGACTAGTTAACACTTCTTTTTCTTTTATTGAAATATTTTCGTGCAGTTTTCTCAATTCTGCTTCTCTTTCACTCAAAGTTTCCTCAAAATATTTTTGAGATTCAGAGAGTTTTAGACTAAAGCGATCAGTTTCTATTTTTAGATCATGTTCCCTTTTCTGAAGTTGTTCATTCAATAAACTATTATGTTCTTCACTTTGTTCCACTTTAGCTGTTAATTTGGCTATTAACATTGCTTGGTCCTGGACATTTTGGTCTTTTTCTTTCAGAGAGCTCTGTAGAATCTGAAAGCAAATACTCAGATCAATTGAACAAATCAAATACGGTAGTTATAGTTGAGGTTTTGTATGTTGCAAATGAACATTAAAAGATAATTTAACAATTAATTAATTAAAAATATCAGATGTCCATGTATGGGGATGAAAATACGTAGGGAAATAAGTAGGGAATAATTCAAAACCGTCTCTTAATGGAGGTGGTTTCTTAGAAGAGAATCGGGTCAAGATAAACACGAAAATCATTTTGTTTTGATGACCAACCTTTAGACTGATATAATTAATCAATAATTGAATTAATCTGTTAAAAATTAGCAAATTGCCCATTAACTATAATCCCTTTTAATCTCACCAGTATGTGAAACCATGTGATGTGTATATATTGGAGATAATGATATAGGTCGATTAATTAAATCTCTATCGTGCCTACAAACCAATCTTGACACGTTTTACTATATCAAGGACAATAACTCTGAAAATATTCATCTGAATAATACCAATTTCGAATTTGATTGAGATCTCATCAATATATCCATACATACAAAGTTTCATCAAGATCTTATTAAAACTTCAGACTCTATCGTGCCTACAAGCCAAATTGGACATGTATCACGCCTACAAGAAATGTGAACGGACCGACAGACCAAATTCGAACTTGTCCAAGATCTCATCACTAAGCTTCATTTCAATCAGATATACACTATAGTTTCTAGTGTGATCACAAACAACTTTTGACATGTTATGTTTAATCCAGGGGCAATAACTCAAAAAACGTTCATCAAAAAATAGTCAAATTAAATATATATAAATTTCATTTCAACAGATAAAGATAGCGATGGCCATCATAATACAATTTTGCTTTTGATTTTCGATTGGGTTCATCCTTAGGTGATTATAAACAATTCCACCAAGTTTCGTCTAAATCAGTCAAGAATTTTGTCTTCTGAGGTGTTAAGATTGAACAATATTGAACATGTTTTTTAAGAACAAAGGCAATAACCACTAACATTTTTAGATTTTTTGCTTTTTAATAGGGTTCAACCTCGGGTGATTCCACCAAGTTTCTTTCAAATCTGTCGAGAATTGTACATAAAACTTTATTGAAGCTGAAATGATACTGAGCCGACAGATCGAGCTTGAGCTTCACTTGGTAAACCTGGCTGCTGCCACGAAAACATGATTATCTTATTCATCTATATGTTTGTGTTGTAATGTTACCCCATGGTATCGTCTACATCATCATCAACTATGGTTTTCACGACTGACAGGGGCAACAGCAATATACGTCCACATTTACACTCCCCGAAGCAATCACTTTGCAGTTGTGAATTATTTGTTTATCTTGTAAACAGCTTTGATTTTGAATAAAAATATTTAGCAGTGCAGTAACAATTACCAGTATGAAATATTCAATCTTCAGTCTTACACTTCTTTTTAACTTTTTGGGGCGATACTGTATAATATTAAGGTGATACTACGTCTTAGAATGAACATAAAATTCAAGTTCTCGAAATGGTCAATATGAGTATATATCATCAGTTAGCTTATCTGTCATTAAGTTACAACAGAATCCCTGAAAAATCTGGAAAATTCATAAAACTAAGTAATTATTGAAAAACGCTATTTTTCAATAGTTAATTGCAAATTTATGGATAATTACTAAGTTTTTTAGATTTATCAGATTATATAAGGATCCTGTTATGTTATTTATGATACCAGGTATATCTTCTGGCTCTTATTCGCCAAGTTTAAAATTATCAAATTTTATGTTAATTCTTAGATGTAGTATCACTTTAATAAGTTTCTAAATCTGTCAAGAATTGTGCCTTTTAGAGTGTTTATGGGCTAAAAATTGAACACATTTTCAAGAACAAGGGCAATAACTCAAACTAAATATTTTTTGATTTTTTCTGATTTTCAATAGGGTTCATCCTTAGGTGATTACAACCATTCACACCAAGTTTTGTCAAATTCTGTCAATAAGTCAACCTTCTATATTGTTTACGCCATAAGATGTATTTCACTAATCAAGTTCGCCTTCTTTAAGTCACGTGCAATGTAGCACAAAGCAAGTAAACCTAGCCATTCTGTCTTCCGACTACTGTCCTGTTAACACCTTGAAGTCTTGTCATGGTTTTCTACATTAAGTCTTACTATTAACCTTGAGTTGTTGTTGATCAACGTGGAACGGGTTATGTCTTAACTAACTGGCATTACAAGCTAAAAATTGGACGCCTTTTCAAGAACAAGGATTTTTCTGATTTTCAATAGGGTTCATCCTTGGGTGATTACTAACACTTACACCAAGTTTCTTGAAAATCTGTCAATAATTGAATCTTCTAGAGTGTTTACAAGCTAAAATTGAACCCTTTTTTCAAGAACAAGGAGGCGGCATGATGTCAAATTGTTGAAGCAACGTCATTTGCTAGTGCGCTATACTGGTGAGCCCAAAGACACCATTTAAGCTTAGAAGTCTTATAAAGACTTTTTCGCATTTTTCTTAAGAAATTATTACTCGATGGAGATGAATGATTTTTTACCCGCATGTTTAGTTCTTAGAAATTCTCATGTCATGGGCCAAACAAATCGTCACGCACACCTAGGGCAGTGCACCAGAATGCCACAGCAATTGGTGTTAGCGAAAATGTGCCTAAGGGGGGAGTACATGTAACAACTTCCTCTTCGTTCTCGTGCTAACATCTGCACTGTGTTTTAGTGTTTTTCGGTATGATATTTTGTTTTAAATGCACCTACGGCAGACAAATTTCCATGGAGGCAAACACGAAATATTGGACCGCCACAAAATACGCACCAGAACGTAAATTAACGGGAGTGCATATCAGCGCAAAAATAAGCACATGAACCTTGAATTCGAACCAAAAATCCTTTGATGTGAATTAAAAATAACAATCTGCGCTTTTTCAGGTCCCGCTGTATTTATTTAAGAAATCCCTCGCATAAGAAATTATTCTCTTGTTACCGATAGATGAAAATCTTCCTCATATAGACATAGGCTGTATAGCGCCTATTATAAATACCGAAAAATGTATTTTTCCATTGAAGCATGTGAAATATCAATTTTAAATGAATAATATTATGCATATTATAAAGTCTTTGTAATTTAACACATTTTTTTTATTCATGGTTGCCGTATGGCAAACTGCCTTTTTGGGGCCACTTGAAATGAGTTGCGTCACTCAGCGCTATGAAGTTATAGTCTATTAAAGCTTCTTGGGTGATTACAAACACTCACACCAAGTTTCATCAAAATCCATCAGGAATTGTGCCTCTTTGGTTACGAGCTAAAAATAAGAATAACACTGCAAAATCACAAATAGCCAAAACGATGGTGAATTCTATTTCACAGTTTCAAATGAAATGTTCAAAACTTAAATAGCATTTTGTTTCTAATTTGTTACACTAGCTTTGTATTACTCTTTAATATTATCTAATAAATCGTTTAAATGTGTGGTCTGAATTCACAGGCCGTTACAAATGTCTGATTCCCCCAAAAAATATGAACAGTCTTGATTTCATTGTGGGACATTTACATTTCAAATTCTGTTCTTTTTTGTTTTCTTTTTGATTTTTCCACAGGGTACACAGCCAAGGGTTCATAAGCTGCAACAACATTTGTACATGTGTAGGCCTTCTGTAGTGTAAGCGATAAAATCACCACAAACTGAAGGACAAGGGGGCAACAGTAGAGGACTTTTTGAACTGAATAAATGGGAGGATGAAATATATTGAATTTACCTCAATAACTTTATCTCTACCTCTTATAACTTCATTTTTTTCACTAACATATTCCTGCAAATCCATGACCTGTCTGTCTTGCTCTAATATTTTATTATTCAATTCCAATAACTTTTTATCTTTATAAACAATTTGAGCATACATCTCGTCCATACCAGACTGAAATAATGCAAAATTATATTGTAGATATGAAGTTTAGCATACCATTTCTGCATGCAATAAAAAAAACAAGTGGTTGCCAAGCAAGATACTCCCACTTCCCTGTTACATTTTCAGTATATCAAGGGCAGTCACCAATCTGCGTCAAGTCGAACCAAAAATCTGTGCAAGGTATTGTTCATTTAAACAAACACACAAAATGTTGACATAAACTGTGACCTTTTTTTGGCACGCTTTTTCCTAAGTCAAGGGCAATAACTCAAAAACAATTAACCGAACGTAACCAAATTATAAATGATAACACCAAATTTCATTTAAATGGGATGAAAACTGCAGTCTCCATTTTGCTCACAAACAAATTTTGATGTGTTTTTCCTAAGTCAAGGGCAATAACTCAAAAACCGTTCATCGAAAGATTGCCATATTTGAATTTGTCCAAGATCTCATCATTATTAATAATCACACCAAATTTTATTTAATTTGAATGAAAACTGTAGTCTCTATTGTGTTAAGAAAAACACGTCAAAATTTGTTTTTTAAGTCAAGGGCAATAACTCAAAAACTGTTCATCAAAAATCTTCAAATTCGAACTTGACCAAGATCTCATGAATATAAATGATCACACCAAATTTCATTAAAATCAGATAAAAACTGTAGCCTCTATTGTGTTCACAAGTTGGGACTGACCGACAGGGGCGACAACAATATACGAACACATTAGAATGTGTTCAATAACATAGATGACACACAAACCATTTCACAAAGTTTTTTTACTGGTCCATTTTTAGTTGATCCAAATAATGTGGATACTCTCAGGGACAGACACACATGAAATGTCCGTAAAAGTTCAATGATGTCACTTTCCTTGGTGAAACTTTGTGAAAGGTTTGGACCCACTGCATCTTCCTTAGCTTAGGCTATTGAACAATCATCATTTTATGAAGCCAAAATGGATTCCTACCATGAGAAGAATGTTGGAATGTTACTTAGCAACTACCAAGGAAAATGATATCATTGAACTTCAACTGACATTTCATGTGTGTCTGTCCCAGAGGAAGGGTGCCTTTGTGCTCTTGAAACACATTATAATGTGGGCGTATAAAAATTCAATTTATTTCAATATATATGTATTTCAAATATAAACAAGATACACAACCACTTGCAGCTGTTTTAATAAATAGAATACATTTTAAGGAACAAGGGCCATAACTCACTTCAATATTTGCTGATGTTTTGATTTACTAACGATTAATCTTTAAGTGATAAAAAATAATTCCGTTTTGTGACTTCTGGAGTGGCATTTCAAGGAGCAATATCAAAAAATATCTTTTTTAACTATTAAATAACCATTAGAACAATTATAACTATTTTCTTTATTGATGATGCCATTTTATCTCGCTTCACCTATTTGAAGCTGCAGTGTTAGATTCAAAAGAATGACATAAAATGAACAGATTTTTAAGTGTTAGATTAAAACGATAACAAATTGCCAATAAATAATATTTTGAAACATGTTCGAACATCCATGGGTAGGCTATAATTCCCACAAGCAGATAAATCAAACATAGGTTTTACAGTGTAGTCCTATAGGGAATTCCCTAAAACATATTCTTAAGTTTGTAAATATAATATTCATGAGGGCATTCCTCTAAGGATTACATTAAGGTAGGTCACATTTTCATTTACCTGATGAATTGTGTTTCGTCTGAGGAAAACATGATGCAATGTACGGCACTAATATGTGTATTGCTAGTCATACAGCATACTTTAGAACAATGTTTCGTTTCATGGTGTATTAATATATATAGTACAGAGAGTTGGTAATATGTACACAAGTATTGTAGTTGTACGAAACCGGTGCAATGGTGTGCATGATTTGAACCCAATAAATCTTGTAACTTTAATGTTGTTGGTTTAATCCTGAGTATTCATGATATGAGAATAATACACATGAACTGTAAACAAAATAGTATCGTATTAAAAGTCAAACAGCAGTGGTATCATTTGTGTACTATGCACAAGTCTGGTTCGACCATTTATATGGTATATAATTTTTGGCATGTAGAGCTATCTAGGGATAAACAATGGTAGGGCTGGGCAATATTGGTCAAAATATAACGCTAGTAATGATCGGACTGGGGATTTTCTAGAAGGCATGTATTACACCTTTAGAAAAAGTAACATTGTCTGTCGGCCTACAAGTAATTACCAATGCTTTCAGAACATACTGATTTTTAATATATATTACATGTAGGCCTACCGGTACCATTTAATTTAGAGGGCTGGGATCATGCTTGCATCCTTGTTTTCAAACATCATTTCACCTTGGCATTGTATTTGAATTAATCAATACTGAAGAATGACAATATTAAATATTTTCGGGCCCATAAATTTGGAATGTCAGGCACTAGAGTTATTTTATGCTTTGGTAGGCCTAACCTGTATAGATTTGTAAATTTTTACTCTGTCATGTAGGTAGACCTATTATATAGGCCTATGATAAAACAATTAATTTACATAACTTAAGGCTTAAATTTTGTAACAAAAGAAAGCAAATTAAAGCTTAAAAATCACGAATTTAAGCGCTTTGAAAAAAATCTCGAGTCTTTTCACCAAATCTCTAGATTTTTCACCAAATCTCTAGGTTTTTCAAGCAAATTATTTTTCCTGACCTGTACACAATATGTATGAATATACCTGTTTGATCAGATTAACATTTTACTGCTTGTTGTAGGGGAAGGCCTTTATACTATTGCAAGTTTGAAGGTCCTTTAAGCCTTACCAAAAAGTAATTCCATTTATTTTTGGCATAAACAATGTCACATTGAAATTTCCATGTAATGCTGTTTTTTTACTTTTACCCTAGAACCAAGGGAACGTAAATACTTCAAAAAAATATTTCGTTTTCTTCATTACATATCGATAAAAAGCAATTTAGTTTTGTTTTTAGAATGGCACAGGGACAGGTTTTAAATATTATAAATCCGGTGCCATCACAGTTCACATCTTCACTGATCACAGGTCACAGAATAATACTAATATTAGTAAAATTCACACCTCAAACAAAATATTTATAGTGTTCACAAGCTAATTGTGGAGAGAGTGACCATATAAATCATTTAACAAAAAAATAAAATTTAAAAAAGTAGACAAAAACAAAAATAAATAAATACTAGAACTGTACTAATAACAGTACTGATGCAGGGCGTGTTACGACATTCGGGTACATACGAAGTTGGTCTATTGCAATTACATGGATGTAAGTACTTTTCTGCATCTCTAAATGCAAATATCCAAAAGTGCCTGGAGTTGACGAACTTTCTGATAGAAATTGGGGAGAATGGTACTTTAACGGACATGTCAAACTCAGGAATTTTATCTATACTGACATCTCATTAACCAACTTAAATTTGATACCACAATGTTAAACGAATGTAATTTTATGTTACATAGACATGTTGTATATCACGAAGCTCAGAATCTTAGCATTATGAATTCGAAAGAATTATTGCTATATCACTATTAGGCTACGAGATATAGCACTGCAAAGGTCATCAGATATTCAAGGTCACAATTTATCATCAAAGTAAATATGAAGGTCTCCAAAGGTCAAGGTCATGAGATATACACCTTCAAACTTTGAAAAAAAATATCCGGTCGTACAAAAAAGGCAAAACCGAAAATCAAAATTCTGTCCTCAACTAGTTTTAGATAAACGTTAATTCTATCATTTAACACCAAAATTGTTCAAATCGGATAATAAATAGCTCCAAAATAGCAAGTTTTGCATATTGAGGCAAACCAATATGGCGACCTATATGTTACTTTCGGTACGAATTTTTTTAATTGTAACACTTTGTATTAGTGACACTAAGCTTATGCATATGTCATTTCTGACATAACTCAATTTCACCGGAAGTGATGCCACCGGAAGTACTAATATCGAAACCGGAAGTGATGAACATTTTTTGACTATGCAGAATTATTTGCCCATACCGACGGTCTACGTCATAAAAATTTCAAAACGATCCGTCAAAAAGCAACCGAAATAGCATTTTTTGATTAATTTCGACAAAAAAAAGTATCGAACGAATTTTGGAAAATCGAATATTTTCAACTGCTATCATATGTCCTTTGTACTAAGAATTATAATAAAGGAAACCCGAGAAAAATCGAACGATAAATACGCCCTCTACAGTCCATTTCCGGTTTTTTGCTATCTCACTTCCGGTTGCGCAGAACATTTTCGTTTTACATTTAATACGTGAATAGCCACGAGTTAGAAAACGTCATGAAGTCCGTTTTGTCGTACCTATTTCTGGTTCCGAGAAATAAGCTCCCTAGCTGACGAAAAAAAAAATAATCGTTACGAAAACAAAGCAGGGCGTTCGCTTACGAAAGCCCTGCAAAAAAAAATACGTAGACAAAAAAAAAGATAACTTGTAATATACAACCACTGGCAGCTTTGATTTTCAATCAATAAATCTATTTGGCAGTACAATAACAATCACTAACTTAAGAAATAAACTTTTTTTTAACTTTGGGGGTGATAATATTACTAAGTTTTGTGCCTTCTAACATGTTTACGAGTTAAAAATTGAATGTTTTTCAAGAACTAGGGATATAACTTATTCTAAATATTTTTCAATTTTTCTGTTTTTTTCCATCAAGAATTGTTCCTTCAAGAATGTTTACAAGATAAAACTGAACGCGTTTTCAAGAACAAGAGCAATAACTCATACTTAATATTTCTTTATTTTTTTGATTTTCAATAGGGTTCATCCTTAAGTGATAACAAACACTCACACCAATTTTCGTCAAAATACGTCAAGAATTGTGCCTTCTAGAATGTTTACAAGCTCAAACTTGAATGTGTTTTCAAGAACAAGAGCAATAACTCATATTAAATATTTTTCAATTTGTCTGATTTTCAATAGAGTTCATCCTTAAGTGATAACAAACACTCACACCAAGTTTTGTCAAAATACGTCAAGAGTGCCTTCTAGAGTGTTTATATGCTAAAAATTTTGAAGACAAGGACAATATACTAAATATTCTTTTTATTTTGCTGTTCATCCTAGCATGATTACATTCAGACCAAGTTTCCACAAAATCTGTTAAGAATTGTGCCTTCTAGATGACCGGACAGACATGGGTGACGCCAATTTTTCTCACATGAAATAATAACAATAAAAATTTAGTGGTAAAATTTTGTCAAAAATGCTATTACCATCCTGGTAGATAATCTTTGTAGGAAATACAGTCAGGCATGTACTAAAATCTGTTTAGTGCAATACCTGGAAAAATTCTTTCGATCTCAAAATACTCACCTCTCCAATACCAGATGACTGTAAAACTACCATTGCCTCTGTTTTCTGTTGAAGCTGCTCTCTTAAATCTAACATAATTGTTTCTCTTTCAGCTAAAACACTTTCTTTAGCCTCAATCTGATTCTCCCTTATTTTAATAACTTCATCTTTCTCCCCTATTATTTTTTCTTTTTCTTCTAACTTTTTCTTTAACAGTTTGGCATGACCTCTTTCTAATCTAGATAAGTCTTCAGCATCATTCTGGTGAATAAAAAGAAACACAAAAATACATGAAATAGGTTAAAAGGTAATTGGGATGAAAGTTCAAGAGGCCTGTATTAAGTGGCTACATTTAAGATAGCTTGCCAGGCAAGGAGATATAACCCCACTGGCAGCTTTGTTTTTTAACAAAAATATTTGGTAGTACATTAACAGAATGAAATATTCAACCTCACGTCATAAACTTTTGAACTTTTTGGGGTTATATGCTTACTGAATAATAATACCATATCTTGTCAATATCTGGCAAGAATCAAGCCTTTAAGTGTTTACGAGCTAAAAACTGAATGCAGTTTCAAGTTTGGGGTCAATAACTCATATAAAATAATTCTCAATTTTATGGGTTTTAATACAAACAATTTCACCGAGTTTCATCAAAATCAGACAACTCTCTAATCAGCTTTTCTATAAACCCCTCAATGAAGACCCTAATTCAGAGTTTAATAAGGAGATAACCAATGTTCTCACCAAAATTTACCAATCGGGACAAATCACTGAAAAAATCCTAAAGGGCCTCATAGTTGACGAACCTAGGCCTGGTCGTTCTACTTATTACCAAAAATACACAAAAATTGCGAACCCAGCAAAGTACCAGGCAGACCAATAATCAGTGGTAATGGGACTCCCACTGAATTCATCAGTAGCTTCATTGATGAGCACATTAAAGTGTTCGTTCCCCTATACCCCAGCTTTATTAGAGACACCACTCACTTTATCCAAAGATTAGAATCACTAGATCTAACACAAGATCCTGATATTATTCTTGTCACTATGGACATTACTTCACTATACACTATAATGACAAATGTTACAACAGATGTCAGCCAAACCCCCGGTATACATCCGCAACTTATGTCATAAACAAGCTTATAACCACATGGGATCAATGACAAAATCCAAACTTGGACACCCCCACTTCTCTCTTTATTTTACAATTTTTGTTCCAACTTTCGATTTACCATTTAGCCTTTCTACCCTCTCACTTACCCTTTAATGTAACCCTTTACATCCCCCTTAAACTGTTCACTACCAGACAGTACTCTCACCGTCCTGCGCATGCCAACGTCACAATCCAGTATCCAACATCTACGTACCTTCACCTGGGACATCTGCGAACATTGTGGGAAAACTTTTTCCAAAAAGTGCCACCTCTCCAGACATATAAGACCTTTCCAGACCTTTTCGGAATGTACTGCATGCGGCAAACTATTCCGCAGGAAGGAATATCTCACTAAACATACCTGTAGAAGGCAGTCCACCGATGGCGATACTCTAGATGAAGTGATCCCCAACACCATCGATGGACTGGAAGAACCAACTCCAAGGCACACACCTGAAGACTCAGACACTGAATCTGTCACCGCAACCTACTCCACGGAGACGGTTCTAGCAGTACCAGTAGCTGATCCAAAAGGACACCACAGCCTGGGATTCCTCTTCCCGCCACAAGAGCTGTGGAACCGCGTCAGCCCGCTCAACATCCTTGGCGGGTTCAACATAGAGGCTGCCTCAACTAACATCCTTGGTGTGCCCTTCCCACTCCTCTCCCACTGGGAATGGGAAGGAGCTCCCACGCCTCAGTCCCTCACCACTGAATGCTGGAAAACCTCCTCGACTTGCAGGAGCGACATCTCGTCAAACCCTGACCGGGTGTCTGATGCCAGATTTTACCTACCCGCTGAAGATCCTACACTACTCTGCCAACTAACCAATGATGACCTATTCCACACTGATATTATCAATACCTTATCTTAGCCATTATAATAAAACCTTTTACACACTTCTCACCGTGTCATCTATCTCCTCTGGTTTCCTACAGCTCGTCTTAACCCAGACAGCCTTTTAAAGGTATTCAACATCCCCCGCCGGGACAGACTAACCCGGAAAAGAACAACCCTGCTAAACCTGGTAACAAATCCACCCCGGTAACCTCGTTAAAAAGCAACCCCGCTAAGAAATCCAACCCATTAACCCTGGTAAAAACCAACCCCGTTAACCCCAGTTAATAGCAACCCTGTTAACCCCGGTAATAAATCAACCCCTTTAAAATAAAACTAACCCCGTTAGCTGAACAGTATAAATAGGACCCCACAAAGTGAGCCAAATCAATCAGTCTGAAGAGTACACCAAACTAGTCACTGATAACTAGGGATAACTGGTCGCCTCGCCAATCTTTATCTCATATAACAAATCATGTGGAATAGATCATATTATTAATGAATATTTGAAAAATAGCGATGGCCAAATCGTAATACGCACACCATTGTAATGGTAGCAAAGTCATCCGGGCGGTTGACAAGAGCTATCAATAAATGAAATATTTCAAGAGTAACATTTTCATACTGCACAAGCTTTATACAAAGACTTTTCAACAAGTTTTGTCTAAATAAGTCCAGAATTTTGTCTTCTGGAGTTTTACGAGCTAAAGATTGAACACATTTTTAAGAACAAGGGCAATAATCCATATTAAATATTTTCCGATTTTTTACTTTTCAATAAGGTTTTGGTGATTCATAGTGTTGAAACGGTTAATCAGTTAACCGATTTCAGGTAGTATTTCACGGGTAGCCGGGTCTGATTTGAGTTGATCGGTTAACCATCAATTTTATAAGAAATAAAAAGAGAGCAATTTTGACAGAAAATTCGTCACTGTATGAGTCTTTAAGCTGTTTTCTTAAGTTCAACTAATTACTCGTTCTGGATAATCGCGTCACGATGGTCTTAGTGTGCACCGTTATGTTAATTAGGTTTAACAAATAAGCACTGTAATAATTATCAGACGTTGGCACGTGCCACAGTTCGTTGCATCTTGTTGTTTTTATGTATTGCGGATATGTAACACAGTGTTTTTTAAGCATGTTCTAGTGTTTTAATAAGTTTTGTTATTACTTTTATTATATCAATCGGGTACGAGTTGCTTAGAATAAAACATTTATAAAGATTGTATTACTTTTTAGTAAATCTCCTGTAATTAGCTGTGTATTTCTTCTTGCCTGTCAATCAGCTTCAAGCTTATTAATATTCATGAGTACGGATTCATTGAGACAATAGTTTTATACCAGTTGTGGACCATTACACGGATTCGCGGCGACTTCAATGAGATACACTCATTACACTGACTCCACAAAAAAAACCTTTGATCTGTTAGAGACTGTAGCAATGAGTGTCAATGTCTGAACTCCGTCAGGCCCGTTCCTAATCTTACATTGAAGCAGACGCTTCAATGGATAGTTTGGTATCTGTCGATTTGTACCGACAATTCGCTGGGAACTAGCCAAAATCTTCCTGGGGACTCATTTACACTTACTCTAGTTTAGTTAACGGTGAGTTACCGCTGCAAGTGCGGTTTTTGACTCCTTTTATAATTAACCGGGATCAACCGGGTAACAAAAGGTTATTGCCGACGATTACCCGGTTCGTAAAATTCACTAACCGTTTCAACACTAAGTGATTCAACCAAGTTTCTTTAAAATCTGTTCAGAATTGTGCCTTGAATGGGATTGCAAGAACAAGGGCAATAACTTATATTAATACTTAGCTAAAAATTGAACACGTTTTTAAGAACAAGGGCATTTAGTCATACTAAATATTTAATTTTTGATTTTCAAACACTCATACCAAGTTTTGCCAAAATGTGTCACGAATTGGTCCTTGTAGAGTGTTTACAATAACACATACTAAATATTTCTCGATTCTTCTGATTTCAATAGGGCTCATCCTTGAGTGATTACGAACACCCACACCAAGTTTTGTCAAAATCAATCAAGAATTGTGCCTCCTGGCATGTTTGTGAGAAATTGTGGGCGGACGGACAGACATCGGTGAGGCTACTGACTGATTCGCACTGCAGACTCTTGGCTTGCTGTTTTGGGGTTTACTAAATTACGTTAGCATAAACTTGTCCATCTCATACACATGTACTTGTCTATATGTATTTTTCTGTATATACTGGTTAAATTGATAGAGCTTGTACATCTTTTTCGGTCTTGTACTTGATCACAGCAACATAGTCTTTGTATTTGTTAAACAGGTTGTCCATCGAGGTATTGTGTATTTTTTTTTTATTAATTATATTATTGTTCCAAGTTTATTATTACAGTGTACTCTGTGATGTCCGACATCTGAGTACTCTGACATTCGGTGTATTACAAATAACGACACTAATCAGTCATCAAAATCATTTATCACCAATTAGATAATCACTTGTATTATTAATAATCCAACATAAAAAAAAAGATCACTGATATGTGAAAAAGGGTCTATTCTGCTGATTAATCACAACCACTGACCTTGCGTCATTGTGTCATTCATTACATTCGTTATACATTTCATATACCACGGAAATATGAAACTGTACCTTTCTTTGTTTCGGGTTTTATCATAATTATCAATGTTATAAAGTTTGATCGTCCTGCATGTCCATGTACTGATGAGTTTTGAAGCAAATTATTGGAAATTATGAAAAAAGTGCTGCGCCCAATGCATAAAGATTTTGCTATGAAATTTGGTTTAGGTTGAACAACAATAAGTTGTAAAATGAATTTTGAATATTGCCGACAATATGAATTCCAATAAAAACGTATGATAGTAACTAAAAATATGAAGAATTAAATAATAATACTGAATGTATTCATCTGAATAGTCTTTTATAATTGTTTTATTATTAGAAAGGTATCGTAGAATCTTACATGGGTCACTGAGCTATATATAGTAACAGGTAGCACATGTTAAAATATCTCTGAACTTTGAATACTCCGACACTCTCGCTAATCAAACATTGTCTCACTGTCCTTGTGTATGTCGGATTACGCAGAGTATACTGTATTAGTATTATTAAATCGATTTACGGGTGTCCCAGCGGGAATCGGATTCCCAGATTTCCGTTAAAAATTAAGGTTGTAGTTCTAAGCTTGATGATGGGTTTTTAAGTGTCAAATGAGGCAAACTATTTGATTAATTGGTGTTTCTAATGAATTATCATGTATTCTTATTCATATCATCATATTATGTTCTTAATGCATATAATTAAGAGTTTTAACCAATCATGTAAAGTCAAGCTTAGTAAGGGTTTGGTGCACACAGTTAAGAATGACAAGTTGATGTTTTTTAATTACATGCATTACCTAACAATAACAATAGGCCTAATAACAATTAAAATAGCATTACTGATGTTCAACATTAAAATAATCTTTAAGGCAAAACTGTTTTACACCTTTTATATGCCCAAATGGAAATGTGGACGTACACTGCCGTCGCCCCCGTCCGTCCATCCAATTTTCTTGTAGGCACGATAGAGGCTACAGTTTTCATCCAATCTTGATGAAACTTGGTATGCATGTATATATTGATAAGATCTCTGTCAAGTTCGAAATTGGTAATAATCAGATGAACAGTTTCAGAGTTATTGCCCTTGACTTAGTAAAAACATGTCAAATTTGCCTTCTAGGCACGATAGAGACTACAGTTTTTATCCGATCTTCATGAAACTTGGTTTGCATGTATGTATTGATGAGATCTCAGTCAAGTTCCAAATTCATAATAATTGGATGAACTGTTTCGGAGTTATGACCTTGACTCAATAAAAACTTGTCAAATTCGGCTTGCAGTTTTTATCTAATCTTGATGAAGCTAGATATGCATGATGAGATCTTGGTCAACAGTTTCCGAGTTATTGCCCTTGTATTGTGTGTACAGCAATGAGACATGGTTCATGTTTGAATTTGATAATAACGAACTCTTTCAGGTTTTTGTCTTGACTTATAGATGATTTTAAGATTATTTGAAAATTCATTCTTAAACAACTAAAGATTTTGTTATCATTTATGACAGCTGGTAGTCTGGGCGTATGTTACCTTGCCTGGCAAGCGATCTTTAATTTTGGATGGATTTTTTTTCCTGGAAGGTTTAGACAAATATACAACGCAATAATGGCAAATTTGGTTTTTTCCACTAATCATATCAATAGACAGCTAGTCTTCAATCGAATAGGATTTAAAACCTTGGTGCATGATTAAAAAAATTTAAAAATTAATATCTAAAAGTTACACTCATGGATTATAGACAAAGGATATTCTGTTTGGCAGTAATTAATGGTGAGTTTAATTTATCGGATTAACAAGAATTATTGATAATTGACTGCTTATTGGTGAGTGACATCTGTTCACAGTCAAGAATATCATGCATCAAAAGGGTGGTGCTTATTAGTAGTAACTTTGGATGAAAATTTAATTTTCGGTAGCTGATTATTGAAGGGTGGTGCTGAATACAAGTGACCATTAGTACAAGTTTTATTCTATGTACAGTCTGGATAAACAAAAAACGTCTTGATCGTTTACTCTGGTAATTTTCTTCTAATTTACCTAATTCTGAATTAATTATGGACATGTGAGTCATTAGAACACCTCTACTTTCTATTCACATAAGTTTTAGCATTTACGTTTTCATAAATGAAAATAAGGGAACCCATCTTTAATAGCTTTGAGGACATAATTTTTGACAATTACTCATGCATTAAATGGTGTATTGTGGCTTAGAGCTGTATGCAGCAGCCCTTGCAATAAACCTTAACAGAAGACTTAAATCAAACTTTTGGTATGCACCACTCAATCTGTATGAAAGTCATGCTTATCATTTACTTTAAAAGGTATAAAAGGAAGCTGATGTATACCTCAGTTTTACTGTTTGTAGACACGAAATGGTGAATTATTTAGATCAATTGCACCGTTTAACAGACCTTCACTAACAGGCAGTTTTGATCAACTTATTGCATATTCCACCAATGTTACTTCTGATAACTCTACGCTGATATGCATCTGGGTCATTCTAAATTCAATGTAGAAATTTAGAGAGTGACTTGAGAGTGGTGCTTTCACTTCGATGGTTGACACACTAATGATGGTTTTGGCGCGCGCATCTCACATGACCTCGAAATGATATCATACATCAAGACAGATTGATTGATTCTTTAACATATTTACCAATTAACGGTAAACGGTATATAAGTCGGATAATGACCTGACTTGTTTTTACTGAGTTTAGAAAACCCTTTAAAGAGAAAGGCTGCAAAAACTCATCTTGTATTTTCAATAGGGTTCATCCTTGTATAATAATAAAAAATTTCATAAAGTTTCGTCATGATAGCTTTTCAGGCAAGGTAACATATGCCCACTACCAGCTGTCAGAAATGACAATAAAGTCTTTAATAGCTTCATAATGAATTTTCAAATAATCATGACAAAAAAATTCATCAAATTATCATCAAATTCAAACATCAACGTACATACAAGGGCAATAACTCTTAACCATTCATCCTTTTACTCCTCTGAGATCTCATAGATACCAGGTTTCATCAAGATCAGATTTAAACTGTAGCCTCTATCATGCCTACAAGCCAAATTTGATGTGTGTTTATTAAGTCAAGGGCAATAACGTCATCCGATTATTACCAATTTCGGCCTTGGCCAAGATCTTATCAATATATAAGTGCATACCAAGTTTCATTAAGATTGGATAAAAATTGTAGACTCTATCTTGCCTACAAGTCAAATTTGACATGTTCTTACTAAGTCAAGGGCAAAAACCCTAAACTGTTCATCTGATTGTTACCAAATTCAAACTTCACTGCCATCTCATCAATAACTACATGCACATCATACCGTGTTTCATCAAGATAGGATAAAAACTGTAGCCTCTACTGTGCCTACAAGCCAAATTTGAAAAGTCAAGAAGGTCAATAATTCTAAAACCAATCATCCGATTATTACCAAATTTGAACTTGAATGAGATCTTGTCCATATATACATGAATACCAAGTTCCATCATTATCAGATAAAAACTGTAGCCTCTATTGTGGCTGCAAGCCAAATTTGATTCGTCTTTAATAAGTCAAGGGAAATAACTCCCAAAGCGTTTATCCAATTGTTACCAAATTCAAACTTGACTGAGATCTTATCAAAATATACATGAATAACAAGTTTCATCAAGATCTGATAAAAACTGTAGCCTCCATCGTGGATACAAAACAAATTTGATGCAATAACTCCAAAACCATTCTTCCAATAATTACCAAAATCGAACTTGATCTCATCAATATTCACATGCATACTAAATTTCATTAAGATTGGATAAAAAGTGTGGCCTCTATCGGGGTTATAAGAAATGTGGACGGACAGACGGATGACCCAACCTGGGTGACAGCAATACACCTCCAGATCTAGAATGTTTATGAGCTAATTTAATAATTTTAAATTTATAATGATTTTCAATAGGGTTCATTCTTGATAATAACCAATTTTTCAAGTTTCTTCAAATTCCCTCAATAATTTTGAATTTTAGGGCTAAAAATTGAATGTGTTTTCAGGAATAAGGGCGATTACTTGTATCAAATATGGATGGACAGACAGACGGATAGACTGTCAGACAGACATGGGTGATGCCAATACGCTTGGATATTTTGGTTACAATTTTCAAAAGAGTTAAAGGATCGTTAGTCTTTATTTTAATATACATTTTCATTTAGGTCTATCTTACCTTTTCAGTTGATGCAGAATCTGAAGTAGTGCCTTTCCCTTCAAGTTGACGGAGTTTAGTATCTTTCGCTTTAGTTTGCAATTTCAGTTTGGCCACTTTTGCATTTGATTCCTGCAAAAAAATTGAAAACGTTTACTTTCTTAAAGCTCAGACGACTGTTACTTCTTACACCGTGGGGGCTTAGAAAAAAAGCCGTATAAGATGCTGTTTCAGCTTTGCAATATCAAGCTATAAGGGAACTGCGTCTTATACTACATCTGGATCTTCCATGATACAAGAAAGGTAGTTATCGCAGTCATGCAAGGCTTGAAATAAGCCTCCAGACACTGAAATTACAATTTCAGCAAATGTCCAGTACAATCTGGGGCAAAATATTTTTTTCTTGTTGAAAAGATCGTGAATTATCAGCGATTCTGACCGTTGATATTGCCAATAGACATCAAAGTTGTGTGTTCTTGGAAAATTTCCTTTTTCGAGTAACAGATTACCTTGGAAAGCAAAAAAGTATGGAATGACAATAACACAGTCTAGATCATCCAGATTACTAGCACCTATTGAAGACATGCAAGGTCTGGATGATCAAGTCAAAACACGAATGAAGGGTGTTGACACAAGTAGGCCTAGTTCAAGTCAAGTCGTGTCCAAATCTTTTAGTAATTTTAATTCTATAATTACTTTATATAAGCTTAATCATGAGATGATCTTTCATATGGTACTATATTTTATAATCATGATAATCACACTTTTATACTTTTATTTCAAATATTACATAAGAATTTGATAAGATATACACTGAGCCTGAGGAAATTGTGAGGCACCATGTTAAATAAACACTGCTGGATGTGTTGATTAGCACAAGTACAAAATTTCAAATGTCCGACACAAATTGAATTGTGCCAGACAAAATGTCTGGCCCAATTTCTGGAGGTATTTCAAGCTTGCAGTCACAAGTCACGGTATAAGAGGCAGTTCAGTATAACTGGATATTGCGAAATTGTGAAAAGTGTCCTATGACTACAATTTTCGTTTAATAGGAACTAGTTTGCATCCCACACTGAATAATTTTTTTTTTATCATAAAGCAACAATAAAATGAGTTGATGTATTTCAAATATATTTCGAGTTTGGAAAACTTGGTGAGTTGTGAAGAATATGTTTAAGCTTTTGGGTAATCTACAAAGCTCATTTCCGATTGGTCAAAATTTCACCAATTCACATTTACCTGAAAACTGTGCACTAGTTTAGAAAGAAAATAGCCACAGTTCAGCTCAGGTAGGTGTTTTGTTGGCTGTGCATTCTCACCAGAATTCGGAAAAAAAAAATGTTCATTTGCAATAATTTCAGTTTATTAAGGGTTGCCCTTGTTGAATATGTACCCTTATTCGAACTTAACCAAGATCTTGTGGATATAAACCTACATACCAAATCTTATAAAAATTGGACAAAAACTGTGGCTTCAATCTAACTGTGAACTTGTGTGAGGAATGACTGACGGACAGACAAGGGTGACAGCAATAAACTTCCACATTAAAATGTGGCACATAAGAACTAAAGTAAATTTTACATCGAGATTCCCTTTTGGATTATATGCAAAAAACTGTAAATCAACATATGCTTTTGTCATTTTGCTTTGCACTTAATCATTTTGCAATGAAATCAATATTGTCAATGAAACAACTCCATACCATAAAGACAATGTTATTAATATGAAATTAACTTAAGGTTATAACCATTCCATTTTATCACTGTTGAGAATTCTGCACAATCTGAAATATTTTTTTGGTCGCTATTAATTTCCTTATGTCAGTTTAAAAAATTCTGAGTACCAGTACTTCGACAATCTGGGTATTCTGAACTACAATACAGTGTACTCTGTACAATCCGACATGTATTTAATTGGGCCGTAGAAATATGTCGGATTACTGAGAGTGTAGAATGTGGGAGTATTCATATTTCGTAACTTTTAACATATGGCACCTCGATAAGCTTATGGATATTAATATGTCTATTTTAAAACCGATCATCTAAACTAAAATTTCACTAAGTGTTGTTCAACAACCAAATTTTTGCACTATAAATTGATTTGATGGAAAGGAATTTCTATAACACTGAGACTTTAACACTTTCATGTTTTTCTCAAAAAGGTTGACAAAGCAACAAAAATGAGTGGAAATTCTTACAGTTATAGGAAACCGAAATGACATAGTTATCAACTTATTTTAAAGTTTACTTCAAGCTCCTACCATAATTTCAAGTGAAAAGGTGTATAAAAATTCCATGTCATTGGAAAATAGAAATGATAGTAGAAAAAATTCTCCCTCTTCTTTGTTCCTTTTATTTTCTGAATCTGAAGCCTTTTTAAATTGTGCATTCTTCGAGCCGCCATATTGTTGTTGTGAGGAAGAAAGGAATGTGGGGAGTGCACATGCACGCATATTTAAACGATTTTTAACCAATCACAGATGTCCCTGACTGTATACACTGGTTATTCGAAAAAGACTGGACAATTTTTTAATCAGGGTCACGCCATGGAAATCCTCGCCGTAATTAGCTAATTATGGGCTAATTAGGGACCTTTGAGACAAACTGGTAATTTTTTCATTCATAAGAATACCTCTACTTTCGATTGATATTAGTATCTGCCGTCCAATAAACGAATATATATATAAGAAAATAAGGGAAACCATCTTTAAATCAAAACTAATTTTGAAGAATGTCACATTATTTAAGTTATCAGATTAATCATATCGAGCCATTATAAAGCCAAACACAAAACGAGATCAATCTGCTTAATTAATTAATGAACTCCATTTTTAATGAACCCTTTTAAAACATATTCAGTTTGACAAGCCTGGAAATAGCGCCGGTCATAGGTGATTGACCGGCGACTTTAACCTTTTTGACAGGCGACCTTAGTGTACTGCCGGTCGTTTTGACGGGTGACCATGAATGTTCATACAAATAAATATATCACGAAATTTTCAATCGCAAATGAAAGATGTCTTCTCGATCATGCAAGTCTACGATGTCTATGAATATAACAGTGAGCATAATACGGTTCGGTAGTCGCATACGCACTAGTCAAAAATTGCAATATGATTTTAACATACAACTCATACGATTGGTCATTCAGGTTAACCACATTGACATTGTCACATTCAAAGTTTCATTAAAGGCTGCTATTGCTTAATTTTAAATGTAAATTCAGGGTGATTTTGGTCTATAATATCACGTTTAAATGCAGTAGAAATATTTTAGGGGCCTGATATATGATAAAACCGAAATATTTGTGTAATTGTGTTAATCTTAATAAAGTCGAAACTGAACACAACTCTAGAATTTCATAAGGATTTTTTTGGCTTAGAAAAATTTCGTGACTAGGCTCCTTTTACCGCGTGCCAGGTCTATACTTAGTAATGTCTGAAATAAAATGTCAAACTGTCGCCTTTTAAGGATTGAAAATGTCCAAATTAAACACCTAAAAACGGTCTGTAACTGTGGAAATTGTCAACAAATGGAAAACGAGCCAACTGGCTGAAACTTTTCCAAATTTATGGCTCAAAGTCCACCAAAAAGACGGAGTTGTCCTCGAATTTTGCCGCCGCACGTCAGATGTTTTTATCGCGTATAAAACAGATGAAAGAATTTCGTCGGGATTTTATAACTGGCTCTAAAAATCATAGATTGAGCAGTCTGAAGGACCAAGCTTATTCCTGTTGCCACAAGATGTTTTATGAACTTTTTTGTCGTCAAAATGCCAATAGTGGTGGTAATGTAAATACAGATGATCAAACAGATTGTGATCCATCCAACATTGATAGCACCAGTGCCAGTATATCAGGTTCTAGAACGTATTCCGACAAAAACCAACGAACTATTGGAGATTGTTTTTCTGGATTAACTGATAAAATTAAAACCCAAATGTGTAAAAAGATGGAAATAGCTTATTTTGTCGGGAAGAATGAACTACCATTCACAATGTATGAAGCTATTGTAGAATTGGAATCAAAACATGGCGTGGATCTTAGTGTGGCCTACACTAACAGGAAACAATGCTCTGAATTTGTAGATCTTCATGGAGATCATATTCGTCAAAATTTAAAAGCCAACTTGAAGAAAGCCAAGTTTATATGTATACTTACTGGTTCAACAGACACCAGTGTCAAAGAAAAGAAGTCATATACGTATATTTTCTACCAGAGAAAGGTTGTGACAAAATAGAGACAAGCTTAAAATTTGTGTACTTGAAAGATGTCAAGAAGGCAGATGCTTCTGGAATTATTGAAGCTATTGAGACAAGTTTTGAGCATGTGGGAATAAATTCAACAGAGTTGTATTCAAAGATGATTGGATTTGGATCAGATGGAGCCCTAGTTAATAGTGGTGACAGAGCAGGTGTCAAAGCTATCCTGAAAACCAAAGCCCCATGGTTGATATATGTATGGTGTTTTGCTCACCGTTTAGAGCTTGCCCTAAAATATGCCTTTAAAGAAACTTTTTTTCAAACTATTAACGAAATGCTACTTCGTGTTTATGCTCTTTATCATAAATCATCAAGAAGGGACATTTAAACCTAAGCGCTCTAATGGAACTAAATGGATTAGTTTCAAGCTATCAGCAATGCATATTATGTTTGATAAATTTGGTGTTTTTATACAACATCTGGAAACTATAGCTTCAGAAAGATCCACTAAAGATAGGGATAATCTCATTGGTTATCTAAAAAAATGGAAATCAGTTAAAATGTTGTTACAAATTGCTTTGTTCATTGATTTATTAATGCCTGTATCTGTGTTGTTAAAAAACTTTCAAAGAGAAGATCTGGACATTGTATCTTCCTTGAATTCTCTTAGACAAGCTAAAGAGAAAATCATACAGTTAAAACACAAAGAGACTTATCAGATGGCTAGTTTCAAATTCTTGGATTCAAAATTGTTCAAAGGTAATGATTTTGTGGAGTATCAAAACGTAAGATTCAAGAAGACGGAATTTGATAATGCATATGAACAGATAAAAACTGACAAAGAAAAATTAGTGGATATGTTATTAGAAAATCTGCAACAGAGACTTGAAGGGGAGGATGATATTATGTTCCAGAAAATAGCTAAAATATTGGACACTCAAAATTGGAATTCATTGGCGATTCAATGTGAAAAAGAAGAATTTGCTGATGATGATATTGTTTCACTTCTGGAACATTTCTACCTAATTTTAGTAGCCAATGGTGTTGACATTCCCATCCCAGAAATGCTTTATGAGTGGCATGACTTAGTTTATTTTGTTATTTATTACTTGAATCCAGTCAGAAATGAATATAGAATAACTTGGAAAGTTATCTTTTCTTATCCTAAAGCAAAGAGCAACTGGAAAAACATTTTAATCTTAAAGAAATTCTCCTTACCTTTCCAGTAAGCAATGCAAAACTAGAAAGGTTGTTTTCCAAATTAAAAAGAACGAAATCTGAAACAAGGTGTTCATTGAAAGAGAAGAGACTTTGTTCTCTATTGCAAATTGTGGAAGAAGGTCCACCACTAAATGATTATGATGTAGTCCCAATGGTGGAAAAATGGTCAAAATTAAAATCCATACGTCCAAATCAAATAAGGAAAACAAATCAAACCAGAAAAATCCTAAACAGAGAAAGAGAAAATATTATGAACTGGACAGTACTTCAGATAATGAATCTTATGTTAAGGGCAAATGTGACTCTGAAAGTGATAATGAAACTTCTGATGGAAGTTCTAGTGATAGTCAAAATGTCAAATCATGGTTTGAAAAAAACATTGAATCGTCTTCAGACGAGGATTTTGAATGATTTTAACATCAGTTGCTAACATTTCATATGAACATAAATTGCTATTTGATGTTGAATAAAAGTAAACATATTCCTTATTTCCAGGCTTGCAGGTTTGATCAAGTAGATACTCAAGTAGCATACTTTAGAAATATTTTCAGATATAATTTAAGATTTTTGAACATTTGAATGAAAATTTTGCATACTGCCAATTTAAGCAAATAAAGCATTAAATCAATCCTCAACAAACAGCAGCAAAGAATCTCATATAATATTCATACCTCATAGGTGATTAAAATCTGTACCAGTAATGTATAATACTGGTACTAATGAAAAGAAATAGCTACCTTTAGCTCAGATTCTTTTGTCTGCAATAATTCTTCCTTTTCACGTATCATAATTTTCAAATGCTCTATAAGCTGCTGTTGTTCAGCTGACTGCAGTTCCAAATCAGCCATTTTTAATCTTCAATATCTTAAGTGTTGTGTCAGCAATTCATATTTATCAGCCTAAAAAAGTAAGTTTATGAGGCACCATTTACAAAACAATCTGATTTACAATGAGTGAATGTTTAGCCAGTTTTATCATGTTGATATATCAAAGAATTTTACATACTCTCACAGTCCTGAAGGTTGCAAATTGGCATTGGTTACATTACTTTGACAGCCTGAGATAACATTGGTATGTAGTAGTCCTTATAATAATACTTGTTGTAGAATTATAATCATCGCCTTCTGTTTCTGCTAGCTTTTTCGAAAACAAATTCTAATGAACAGTTTTATGGGAATTGGAATGGAATGGAATAATTGATTAATCGAAATAATCAGAGAGGCATAATCGATTACGTAATCGATTAATAAACGAAAAGGCGCAACATCTAATGAACATGCACTTGTTTTAAAGCTTTATAAATTAATTTCATAGTTGTTTTGTAAATTATGATTAGTTTAATGCAGTTTAAAATTTTTTGTCGCTGTTTCCCACAACAGTAGGCTTATCCACTGACATATCCACTATTTATAATATTTCTTCTTTAGTGGCTTTTCTTATACTCCTGATATCTCTTGTTATTTTTGGTGATGAAATACTTGCATTTAGAGCATTAAAGCTCGGGTTTGCGAAAATGGATATTTATAAATTGTTAACCGAATGTGCAAGCGAATTGTTTGTTTGAAAGGTGCAAAGTAGATCACGTCCCCACGTTAATATAAATAGTTACATTTTATAGAAAGATGACCTTGACTAGAACGCAAACCACCTGCACTGGAATTGTTAAGCAGAAGATAAGTCGCAATAAAAATTGTCTTTCAGATACTTCGAACGTTGATGCCATTTCTTTCTAGTTCTGTTGAGACCCAAACTTTAGATATACCGGTACAAGATACTGGGAGAGCCATTTTACAATAAATTTGACCACAAAATCTTGAACTTTATCTATTTGTTTTGCCTTCATACGCGAACAACCATCTCGAATAAGAAATGATGCCCTCAATTTATTAAGCACACATCCGCTCCAGTCTATGGCCAAAACTTTAAAACAATTTTTATGAGACGATTTCCTCAAGTAGACGACCACAACTCCATTCGTCCCAACTTCCGCAGGGTATTAAAATATATGTATAGGCCTTTCTGTATTTGGTATATGATATCAAACTCATTCTCCAAAAGCATTGTATTAGCGTAATATTTTTGGTGATAACACACTTGTGTATGAAACTCGCGAATATTATCTATATTTACAGGTGAATATTGTCGATATTGACCCGTAAATATTGTATAATTCCTGATGACTTTCAAAAACAATTCATTGTTATTTGCGTTTGTTTTAACCCCACAAACCGATTATTTTTTAGTGATAACACACTTGTGTATGAAACATTTACAGGTGAATATTATGTACACTAACTGGCGTATATTACCTATATTGACCCGTAAATATTGCATAATTCCTGATGACTTTCAAATACAATTCATTGTTATTTGCGTTTGTTTTAACCCCAGCGATGGTCCTAATTTCAAACCAATGATTTTAAATGCTGCACCCGTCCCTTTCAATGTTTTTATGTAAACTTACAAAAGTTTATATTTTTTATATTTTTATCAACTCAGTCATTCTATGCTGCATGCATATCAATAGAAGCCTACAGTTTAAAAGGTGATCTTCAAACTAACTCTAAAACAGTCCAGCAAATTTCGATTTACCAACGAATTTGTGAAGACAGTTATTTAACAGTAACTCTGGAATGTACACGTTGCTCTGTAGCTGGGGCCTACTCCTAATGATACTGTCACTGAAGTCGTACTGCCGTACTACAACTGTATCTACATAATTCAATCAATAATTACACTACGTACCCTTTTTATAGTAGGAAATCATACAAATCCACATAACTCCTCTCATTAAAATAGTTTACAGAGGGCATGTAACGAAAAAAATGTTTAAGAAAGACATATTAACAGCAAGCTAAATTTCGGTAGCCATATTGTTTAACAGGCTAGTCACGTGACCACAGGTACCCGTTACGTGAGTTTCATCGATACACAAACAGGCTATCAACATTCTCAATCCAATATCCAGTGCGGCAGTGGTATCTAAAAGGATTCGTTTGCCACAGCCAGATAAAGAAACATAAGAAATGCTGTGTTAAGTGCGATTTTCTTTTGAGAAGTTGCAAGAAAATATAACACTAAAGCCTAAAGATCGCCCAAATGGTGACACGATGTACTTCCGCTATTTGACGCATGTGAAATACTTTGTTGTCAAATTCACTAAACCTGTACAAATTCCAAAGAGCTAAGAAATAAAAACCAACATGTCTGCATTAATAAAGGCAGCATTGAAAAAATCAAACGTTAAAGTGTTGAACAATCAATTTAGGGTCTTCGGATCGACGAAAGTGAAATGCCTGAACCTTCAGGAGTATCAGAGCAAGTCCCTGATGGCAGAAAATGGTATCAATGTGCAAAAATTCAAGGTTGCCTCAACTAAAAAAGAAGCGGCTGAAATTCCCCCGTCACTGAACGTTGACGAGTACGTTGTCAAAGCTCAGATTCTTGCAGGTGGACGAGGAAAAGGCACCTTTTCTAACGGATTTAAAGGTGGTGTTCACCTCACTAAAGATAAAAGTGAACTCTGTGAGTTGGTTGAAAAAATGTTAGGACAATCTCTTATTACAAAACAAACACCTACAGAAGGAGTAAAAGTTTCTAAAGTGATGGTAGCTGAAGCCTTGGATATTGCCAGAGAAACATATTTTGCAATCTTGATGGATAGAAAACACAATGGTCCTGTGATGGTTGGAAGTCCCCAAGGTGGAATGGATATAGAGGATGTTGCAGAAAAAAATCCAGAAGCAATCTTCACTGAACCCATTGATATTTTCACTGGTGTTACAACTGAACAAGCTCAAACCATGGCACATAATTTAGGTTTTCAAGGAGAAAAGCGTAATGAAGCAGCAGACCAAATACAGAAACTTTACAAATTGTTTGAAAAAGTAGATGCAACCCAGGTTGAAATAAATCCTTTTGGTGAAACAGACACAGGAAGAGTAATTTGTTTTGATGCCAAAATTAACTTTGATGATAACGCTGCATTTCGTCAAACTGAGGTGTTTGCAATGGATGACATGGCAGAAAGTGATCCTAGAGAAGTTGAGGCAGCTAAGAGTAATTTGAATTATATTGGAATGGATGGAAATATTGCATGTTTAGTGAATGGTGCTGGTCTAGCCATGGCTACAATGGACATTATTAAATTACATGGAGGATCCCCTGCAAATTTTCTTGATGTTGGTGGAAATGTAACAGAGCAGCAAGTCTATAATGCCTTCAAACTTTTAACAGCAGATAAACAAGTGAAAGCTATTTTGGTGAACATTTTTGGAGGTATTGTTAACTGTGCAACAATTGCTAATGGTATCACAAATGCTTGCAAATCAATCAATCTGAAACTGCCTCTTATTGTTAGACTGGAGGGTACAAACGTTGATGAAGCTAAACGGATTTTGCAAGAAAGCAAACTTCCAATTGTTTCAGCAGCAAATTTAGATGATGGAGCCAAAAAAGCTGTGCTTTGTTTGAAATGAGAGAAGAATAACAAAATAAAGAATATTTATGATAAATGAACAAAATTAATCCAATAATGTGATAATTGCATCCAGGGCAAAAAATGAACACAGCCTTGGATAAATCTATTTTAATTCCTGTACTTATACCTTGACCAAAATAGTCAAAATTCTTGTACCGTGGAATGCAGCGATTTGATTGGATTGTATGCCAACGAATACAGCAAATCAGAGCCCTCGACAGAAAGGCTGTAAACATTATGGCTTTATGTTTGCGGACAATCTGTCAAGGCTTCTGATTAGCTGGGGTACAATTCCATCAAATCGCTTCATTGACACACTTCAATGATACATGAAGGTCATTGAAACTAATAAGTAGATAATGTTATGACTTAAAAAAGAAGAGGCATTTACTAGACAAGAAAATTGATAGTTTGGACGCCATTTTGATTTTTCTCAAATTCTTCCAAATTTTATTCAGCGATAACGGCTTGTCAGATTTTGATGATTTTGGTGTCAAATGAAAGAACACGAACATATTTAAGAAAACTGTAGGAAGCCGATTTTTGAATTTCTTTTTTTCTTTTTTGCAATTTCCGGTTCAGTTTTTTTGAAATTTGAAGGCTCATATCTCGTGTCCTTTGATGAGCTTCATATTTACCACGATGATAATAGCTGACCTTGACCTTCTTATGACCTCTAGATGTTTGAGGTCAAACCACAATTTCGGGTTTTATAGGGGTCTAAATATGCAGTGCTGTATTTCAAACCCTTATTGATTTAGCACCCTACCACCTTCAGATTATTTCTGTGCTTATTTAATGGTTTCAAATAATATCGTATTTGATAATGTCATAGGCATATTAAAGAATCTTAAAACTTTGAACGCTTTTATCTCAAGAGTTACTGCTTGGATGATGCTGATATTTACAGTAATAATAATAGATATTGACTACAGCTTTTAAATGATGTTTATATTTTCACGCCCGATACGTATTTCAGGTTTTATTAGTGTCACTAAAAGTTGAGTTTGCAACTTTAAAGCGTTCTAACAGGTGACTTAATAGAGATAAAGCAATATTTTTTTCGGATTTATAATGCTGAGATCCTGAGCTTTACAGTCATATATAACATGTATGCCTTACATGCAAATTCAAAATTCCATTCACTTAACATGGTGCAATTATTTTAGTCTAAATACGCTGTCATCGGTCTGTCAACCCTAATCAAAGTCAAAGTGCCAGTTTTTCATTTTAAAGACACACTCCCTTTTATATTTGTTTAACATGTTTTATGTCCACTTATAATTTATAAATAAGCTCTAGGATGGATTGAACCGTGTTATACTGTAAGTTGAGCTTACGGAAGCACCTTAAAGGTATATCCCCACTTTATTTCCCAACTTTCTTATTTCTTATCCAAATTTCATCAAACTCGGTATTTATGTGTATAATCAAATTCTAATTTTTTTGTGTGTGCATGCGCACTACCAACTGCTTTTTATTTTTAAACCGAAATTCATCAAACTTGGTATGTATGTGTTTAATCCAATTATAAATTTGACCAAATTCTTGTTGTGCGCATTACCAAATTTCTAATTTCTTATCTAAATTTCTGTCCACCTTTGTATGTACCTTTATGTTGTAACATACCCTGCATCAGTATTGTTAAGAGAACAGTTCTAGTTTTTTTTTCATCCCGGGAGCAAAGTTCTCGGAAACGGCAACAGGTACGATAAAACGGATTTCAAATTGTGGAATAAATGTAAAACGAAAATTTTCTGAGCAACATGAAGCGACGTAAGCAACAAACGGAAAATGGACTCTAGAGGGCATGTTTTTCAACCAATTTTGTTCGGGTTCATTGTATTTCTTGAAACCAAGGACAAATAATAGCAATTCAAAATTTTCAAATTTCTAAAATTCGATAGATACTTTTTTTATTTGCCTATTTCGGTTGTTATTTGGCGTATTGACTTGAAACTTACAAACTTAGACCGCTAGCATAGTGGAATAGTATTGATGTTAGTAGGCCTACAAGCCTTAATACAAACTTTTTAAACTAAAAATAATATGTACCGGAAGTAACATGTTTGCCGTAATTTTTGTTTGCCTCATTTTGCGAAAATTGATTCCCAGAAGCCATTTTTTAATCCGATTTGCGTAACGTTTGAGTCAAACTGTTCAAGGTCAATTTTAGGAAGCATAATTTTGATTTTTGGTTTTGCCTTTTTTGTACGAGCGGATGTTTTTTTTTCAAAGTTCCAGGTCGTATATCTCATGGCCTAGACCTTTGATTTATGTTATGATAATTTGTGACCTTCTTTATTTGATGACCTTTGGGGACAAACAACTCTTTCCATTTTTACAGAGGTCTGAATATGGACCATTTTGAGCCTTTGCAATGCTGTATCTCGGTCCCAAACAGAGATATACCAATAATTCTCTCGATGTAGATATTCCGAGCTTCTCAGCAAACATCGCAACATCGGCCGACATTATAGCAATCTCGGCACGTCGGATCTGTTAAACGACCTCGACCAGATGTCGGCTACATAATATAGACTTATCGATATCGGTTAGACTCTGTCGGCCCTATGTCGGGTCTATTTCGTATATCGACGATGTCAAGCGGAAATCTTGCCGACGAGTATCCGACCGATGTGCTCATTTCTATCAAAACTGAATTGGAACTGACGTCAGGAAGATATCGGCATGTGATAGTGTATAGATGATCGATTTGGAGATATAGAGCCCATGTCTGTCTCTTTTTTTAGATATCGACGATCAATCTAACGATGTCAAGCCGAAATCTTGCCGACATCGGATCGTCTGCGGTTCACAATGGACATCCGATGTGCATACTACTACATAATATATGATAACTGAAGTGAAACTGACGTCGGAAAGATATCGGCATGAAGTGGATAGATGATAGATTTGGAGATATAGAGCCCATGTCTGTCTTTTTTTAGATATCGACGATCAATCTAACGATATCAAGCCGAAATCTTGCCGACATCGGTTCGTTGGCGGTTCACGATGGACATCCGATGTGCACACTTCTACATAATTATGATAACTGACGTCGGGAAGATATCGGCATGAAGATCGATAATCGATTTGGCGATATAGGGCCTATGTCGACGATATATCCTTGTTAAGCCGAATTATATCCCACGTCGGGCCGTTGCCGGTTCATGATCCACATCCGATTTTTCAGTGTCTGTGTTACTGTGGTAAAAATGATATCGAAAAGAGATCGCCTGAAGGTAATTTATCTATAGTATCGATTTGACGGCAAAAACATATTACGTGGGTCGAGCTTCTTGTCGATATCGAAGTTCCATCCAACGTTTTTTATACGCCCACACGTAAGATGGGCGTATATTGTAATCACCCCGTCGGTCCGTCCGTTCACATTTGGCTCGTGCTCGTGCTATGAAGATGATCCCTATTGATTTTCGTGATGATCGGATAATTTTTCACCGAAATATCGTGTCTGACTTGACGTTTTACTCTATTAGCTATATTGTGCAACTCGTGCTCACTCTACAGGCTACAATTCTTTACAGATTCTTTTGATTTTTATTTTGTATGTCTATGTCGTTATGAAGATGATCCCTATTGATTTTCATGATGATCTATCGATTTCCATGATGATCGGATAATTTTTCACCGAAATATCGTGTCTGACCTGATATTTTACTCTATTAGCTATATTGTGCAACTCGTGCTCACTCTACAGGCTACAATTCTTTACAGATTCTTTTGATTTTTATTTTGTATGTCAATGTCATTATGAAGATGGTCCCTATCGATGATTGGATAATATTTCACCGAAATATGGTGTCTGACTTGACGTTTCACTCTGTTAGCTATATTGTGCAACCCTGTAGTCACTAAAGACTGTTTAATCATTTCTGACAGCTGCCAGTGGGCGTATGTTACCTTGCCTGGCAAGCTATCTTTTTTATCGTCATAGAATAGGGTCATGGGCGAAAGGATACCTACTTTGTGTAGTGGACTAATTATCCAGTTGACGACATGTAGTGCCAATATTGGGCTTTTTTAGTTTTTGGTTTCCAACTGTCAAGGAATCTTTGAGTTCCATCCGAACGACCAGACGCTTTTTCCATTGGGCTTATAGATAGCTACTCTAGACGACATCGGGTCATTGGTGCCTCGCGCCCGACATCAACATAGAACTGATATCGGAAATATCTATCCAGCAATGTAAGTAAAATCGAAATACCGACGTTGACCTGTGTCGTTGGCTTTTATGACCAACCGATATCACTGGCATCAATAATCTTTTGGTGCTCTCATCAGACCTTATGAAAGCTCGTGGTAAGCTGTGGCCACCATTTTAATTATGAAATGTTGAGCAAGATGAACATTGTTACATTAGTAACATTATGGCATTAGCTTTGTAACTTTTATGAATAATTCTGAGAAGAAAAGCGTCATCGTTTATTTACTCGATATATGAAAGGTATAATATGGAAGAGAATTTTAACTAAATTTTTAACGAAATCATAATGTATCATAACAACTATGAAAGTATAAAGATATGATAATGGCACGTAAAAACACCGCGAAACAGCACTAAAAACATTGAAGAAGTCACAGATAAATAGCAATATCTACAATATCATATTGAACTAGGTTAACAAAGATTAGGCGATAACACATAAATTTGAAAGGGCAGTCTGCTTTTGTACATAGGTCAGAAGATATTGTTGCTCAAATATATGAAAACTATACATCAAAATCTAGAGAAATTTGTCCTTTTAATTTCCCTGATACAACTATAGTTAGAGGGTTTATTTAGGCTAATCAGTTTTACGTCGTTATGTTTTTTGGTCGTTGTTGGAAAACTAATGTGGGCCTACGAATTTTAGCGTTTCAACTAATAATATCGAGCCACTACAAAGCCAAACACCAAAACTAGTTGAAACTGATTAATTAACAATTAGTACGCTCCGTTTTGAATAATCCTTTTAAATCAAATTCAGGTTGATCAAGTAAATAGCATTTTTTAGAAATGGTATAATTTACCATAACGTCTTTAACTGGCATTTAGCGATTGTGAGCATAAGTGCCTGAGGACGATGGGGGAAACACGTCGAGACGTTGGATAAAACTTTTACCAGTGATTGTTGTTCCATAAAGCTGTGTCTATATATAATATAATTACCATGTTTTTTCTATATAAAATTTGCATATTGCCTCTTTATGCTTCTGTTCATAGTAGTTAGCCGCTTGTGTTATTTCAGCGTGATTTTTTTCTCACAATCCCAGAATCTGCGCGTGTCGCTTTTTGGCTACAAAGGTTTGTACAGGGTTCGCAAAAAAAACAAAACAAAACAAAAAAAAACCTTTAACTGTTCAAATAACAGTACTGATGCAGGGCGTGTTACGACATTCAGGTACATACGAAGATGGTCTATTGGAATTACCTTGATGTAAATACTTTTCTGCATCTCTAAATGCAAATATCCAAAAGTACCTGGAGTTTAAAGTATATTGACCAGGAATAAAAGAATATTTGTCAATTCATAAAGACCAAGTTTGATGAAATCCGAATAATAAGAAATAAGAAACTTGGTGTGCGCATGCGCACAACAAAAATTCAATATTTCCATCAAATTTAGAATTGGATTATACACATACATACCAAGTTTGGTGAAATACGAATAATGAATAAGAAAGTTGGTAATGCGCATAACAAAAATTCAATATTTCCATCAAATTTAGAATTGGATTATACACATATACATACCAAATTTCGTGAAAATCGGATAAGAAAGAAGAAAGTTGGTTATGCGCATGCGCACAAAAATTTAATATTTCCATCAAATAGAATTGGGTTATATACATACATACCAAGTTTCGTGAAAATCGGATAAGAAATAAGAAAGTTGGTAAATATATGCTGCTGTGAGCTTAAATTACTGT